CTGGAGTGGGAAGAGCAGCAACTAGATGAACCTGTCAACTTCAGTGACTGCAAAATTGACCCTGCACCCTTCCAGCTGGTGGAGCGGACCTCTTTGCACAAGGTAGGGCCAGAGGCCTGGGGCTACCTGGGCCTCAGGAGCACAAGGTGGGGATCTAAGTCCTCCTACAAACTTGGACTTAAGCCAGCGAGGGAAAAAGAGACAGCAGAGAGTGGGGTGGGCTCTGTGCTGACATGTTTTTCAAACACGTCGCTTCAGATGATGGGAGGCCAAGAGCCAGGGCCTCTTATCCCCTTCCTGTCTACGGTAGAGCCAGGCATCATTTTTACTGTGCTCAGCCTTGCCCGCGGGAACTCTGCACCAAAACAGCAACAAAGACAGGGCTGGTGCTGGGTAGAAGCCAGGAGGCCTCTGACCCTCTAGGGTCAGAGTGAGGCAGGAGGCTGCCAGCGCCTGAGGACGCTGATACACTCACAAAGGGAAAAAAATGGGTGAGAAACAGGCAGGAGACGAGAATCTAATAAACAAGTGAACAAACATCCAAGTAGGACTGGGGACACTGCAGAGAAGAGATAAACAAAGATGAGAAGTGCCTAGCAGGGGGCTTGGAATGTCAGACCCCAGAAAGTCTGACTTAATGTAGGCCAAAGGAAAACTGGCAGGGACACAGGAAGATAGCTAAGCAGAAGGGCAGAACAGCCTGCAGAAAACCAGAGTGCAGACAGGTTGTAGATGGGTGAGGCTGATGCTTGTGGAGGGCAGGGGTTCTCTTTGCAGGACTGCCTCAGGCTCCCCAGGGCAAAGTGGCCAGCATCACTGGGCATCTTCCAGCCTCTCAGGGAAGGCAGGGAGCACAGGTATACCTAGCAGGCTGCTCAGGCAGACACCAGGAGAGTTTAGCTAAATTGTTGACAGATTTAACGTGCAAGCCTCTGAGGCACGAGGGATGAGAAGGAACATTCCCAAGGTCTGCAGCTTGGGCAGCTAGCTTAGACACCAGCTTTTCCCAAGAGCTAGCCTAGCCAGCCAGCCAGACAAGGAGGGCAGGAAGAACAGGGGACAAAAACAAAAAAGCAAAAGGTAATAAAGGAAGTTATAAGCCTTTGGGTAAAGACCCCAGATCAAAATTGCCATGCAATTGCAAGAAAAAAAGAAGATAGGCCTGTGAATAATACATCTGGCTTTTATTAAAGCCTTTCTTCCTAAGACCTCTAAAGCTTTTCCATTATCTTACTTAATCCTTAAACATCGCACGATGATAATGAAAATGCTGACATTTTTTAGTGCCAGCTACGTGCCAGGCAGTGGGCTAAGTTCTTCACATGTTTAATTTTAATCTTCACAACCACCCTGTAAGATGGATATTGTGATATTCTAGTTTTTATGAGGACATTGAAATTCAGACAGGTTAAGCAGTTTGTTACACAACTAGTGGAGAAAGGAATGGCAGCCCACTCCAGTATTCTTGCCTGGAGAATCCCAGGGACAGAGGAGCCTGGTGGGCTGCCGTCTGTGGGGTCGCACAGAGTTGGACACGACTGAGGTGACTTAGCAGCAGCAGCAGCGGCACATACCTAGTAAGTAGCAGAACTAGGCCTGGAATCCAAAAGCCTATGGATTTAACCATATTTATACATGGGGAAACTGAGGCAGTGAGGAGGTCACTTGCCCAAGTCAGTATAGCAGTCAGGCCCAAGGGCCAGATTTTCCAGCCCTACTCCCAGGATTCTTTCAGAAGGCCACATTGTCCCTCTCCCTGTCAATTCACTGTTCCTAAGCCTAAGACGTACAGGCCTTCTAGTGAGCTCCCTGTTGTCTAATTAAATTAAAATGAAAAGGAACAAGTAGATGTTTGTTACAAACTTAAAAATCCGAGGAAGAAAAGAAGCCTTTGAGGAACCAACCAACAAAAGTACAAAGAACTAAAAGCAATAAGAACATAAAAATGAGAATTCAAACTGTCCTTGTAGGCCTGAGGAGTCAGTAAATAGTCCAGTGAAGTGCAGGAAGAGAATATTCAGAAGGGAGAGGAATACATGGGAGACTAGTTAGGAACCTGTGCAAATGGACATCTCATACCAGCAGAGTACCTCATTCATTCAGGGCCATCTGCAGAGCACCAGTGGGTAGAGAGGAGGAGCTCGAGTGTCAACAGGAGGCCAGCAGGCTGAACCTGAATCCTGCCATGTGGCAGCAGCTTTTTAACCCTGTCACATTTCTTAGCCTGTCTGTGCTTCACTTTCCTTATCTATAAAATGGGATCATTGTACCTACATCATAGGGTTTTCTGAGGATTAAAGTTAATAACATGTAAAGCACTTAGATCAGTGCCCAGCACATAGTAAGTATTCAATATCCCTTAGGAATTACTACTGCTGCTTACACTGAGAGGCAACCAACAGGAGACTTTAAAAGATGGTGTCGTGAGGGAAGGGTTGAGTGTGACAGAAATGGATGTTCTCAGAAAAGGATGAGTGATCATGTGAGGATGGGATGCCTGATGGCATCTGAGGCTGGAAAGACAGGCTGAGGCGGGTTTGGGAAGGGTCTTATGAGCTATTCTGGGGAGCCTGGGGTCTAACTCAAGTTTGGGAAGGCTCTTAGGATGGCAGAGCCAACTTGGGGGGGAAAGGAGGCAGAAAGCAGAACCCATTACAATGTGGCAGCCCTATCCTGGTGAGAATGCTAAGGGAGTTTGGGAGAACCACCAGGATGTTCAGAAAGTTAGTCAGTAAGGCTTAGTGGGACAAGTGTTTTGCAAATCTAAAAAAGCATATAGTCTGCCAGAAGCTCACTCTGATTAGAATTGTGGAGAACTGAAAATCAAGGGGAACTATTTAATAGGATCCTTGGGAGATGAAAGAGATTATTAAACCATAAGAAGGCAAGACTAAAGGATTACTGAAACAGGAAATCTTATAACAATGTTTCCCTCCAAAGTCAGATGATGAAATTAAAGATAACTTGTAGCACACAGGATTCAAGTTAGATAGGAGGAGTAACTTGCTAACTAACCACAGGACAGTTATGACAAAGGCATGGAAGGAGCACAGGAAAGCGTATTCTAAAACTGAACTTCTAGCTCCCTTTATGATTACTGTCATGCCTCAGATGGAGAAAGTTAGGAAAGTCCTGGAATTCCTTTCCTAAAGACTTTAGCAACTGTATAATAAAACATTTTTAAATTGTTAAGATGATTACAATGAGTTCTGAGTAACTGGTACTCTAGAATCTGGGTTATTAGTGCCCATTTTGATTCAGATATTAAGCCAAAAGGCTTACAAGTAAACTCAGAACAGTGCGATAAATGATAGGCCAAAAATTCCAGGAACTGCTGAGTCAGTAGAGTGTTTTTCAAGACATCTGGCCTGAGAAAATCCACTTAGAGCATGAGGGGAACTGCCTGACAATTTCTGAACCCTTGTTGATTACATTAGAAGGCCTGGGGGGAGGGCCCAAAGCAAAAAAAACATGGGGAGGATGGGTATGACTGTTGTCCCCCTGGACTGCAAACTACATTTCAAAAGGAGCCGGGATGCTAGCTGGGGTCCAGAAAAGGCAAACTGTATGAGAGATGTAGAGTGCTGCAGGCCAAAATTAGAGGGGTATTAAAGCTGGCCAGCTCCCCAAGAGCCCATGGGAAGCATGTCAGCCACAGAGGTGAGTTAGAGATAGAGGATTCAGGGCCAGTGCCCCTAGGGGGAGTGGGGTGTGTGTGGAACTTGGGTCCATGACTAATTGGACAGCTGCACAGGACAACAGGGGCTGTGCTTCCTCCTGCATAGTATGACGAGAAGTTGCCTGGGGCTGCAAGGCTACTTCTAACTGATGACCTTGAGCAAGTCACTTCAGCTCTGAGCCTCATGCTCCTCTCCTATAGAATGAGTATCATACTTACTTCTCAGGACACTACTGAAATTAAATGCCCATATAGGAAAAACCTAGCCCAGTGCCCAGCCAGTCATCTGATGTTGTATTTCAACAGTTGTTCTCTGTCCTCCTTTCTAACATGGAATAAAGAAGCCTTCCCCTGTCCCTTCCCCCATCAACGTAAGCAATATAAACATTCCCACTATCAAGTTTCTGAGGCTTGGTTACAGAAACGTTCTCATTATTGTTGTTTTTCCTCTGGTGGTCCTATGCCCTTCACCTCACCATCCATGACACCCCTTCTACTGCCCACCGCCACCTTGTTCTGGGCCCCTCTGGCCTGTAATGTACAGCTGTCCCCTCACGCATCAAGTCCATTGTGTTTTCTCCCCACCCTGCAGACTCACACCATCTTCTCACTGCTGGGAGTGGACCATGCGTATGTCACCAGTATTGGCAGACTCATTGGAATTGTCACCCTGAAGGAGGTGAGATGATGATGGCCGTCAGGGCCACTTCCACAAAGGCTCGGAGTCTTCTCTCTAGCCCACCTGGGGAAGCACTGGGGAGGTATCTGAGTAGGGAGCCCCGAGTCCACACGTCTGACCCTCTTATCCTTCCAGCTCCGGAAGGCTATCGAGGGCTCTGTCACAGCACAGGGCGTGAAAGTCCGGCCGCCCCTCGCCAGCTTCCGTGACAGTGCCACCAGCAGCAGTGACACAGAGACGACTGAGGTGCATGCACTCTGGGGGCCTCGCTCCCGCTACGGCCTCCCCCGGGAGGGCAGCCCTTCTGACAGCGACGACAAGTGCCAGTGATCCCCTCAGGTGTGACCTGGGATGGCAGTGGCCATGGCTATCGGCCCAGATCCTGCGGCTCTCCTGTTCTTTCCACCATGGGAACACAGGAGCTCCAGCCTCGCCTCCAGACCTGGGGTGCTAGCTTCTCCCAGCTCATCCTACCTGAAATCTGAGCCGGTTCCCACCTGCAGCAAGTGTTCCCAGAGCAGGAAGGTCAGCACTGGCCTGTCCAGAAGGGGATGGGTTCGCTTCACCCCTGCTCCCCCTTTAAGAGGGAAGGGGTAGAACTAAGATGGGTTTATACTGGAACCTCCAATGACCAGATGTATATAGAGATTTACAAAGATTTTTATATTAATTTAATAAAACAAATTCTTAAATAGAACAAAATAAACACCTAATGAGCCACTTATATATAGAATGCCTGTGCCCTTCAGCTCTGTTCTTACCTTGGGCCCTCTCACCTGCCAAAGTCTACAAAGCTCCAAATTGAGTGGCCACCCACAGCCCCCAGAGCTGTAAACTCCAGAGCCCACTGTCCGTGGAATGCCAGGTCTGCAGAGGCCACCGCTGCTTGCTCATCCAGACCCCGGCTGAGGCTCAGGCCCCAGGAAGATAGCTTTGCCCTTTTGTTCAGCCAAGAAAGACACAACCCTCTTTCCTCCCCAAGGAGAGACGCTCCCTCATGACTGTCTTTTGTTGGCACAATTCCGACAGACAACTGCCTGGCCACTCATGTGGCCCCCTTGTGGTCTTCTCTGGAAGAACATCCAGATCACTGCTCCGTGGCAACCAGGGCCATCCCTCCTTCCAACTCCACCCTAAATAGAACTCCTGAGTGAATGGGGCAGCCTTTGGGCTTTGAGCCACCAGGACCCTGCCCACACATCCTTCAAGTAGCTGGGGAAAGGCCTAGACCCCATCACAGGGGCCAGGAAGAGGGCCAAGGGTACAGGCTGTCGTCATTCCATGGCCTCCCAGAGAAGATCCGACTGAAAGAATAGACCGAGACCCCTCTTTAAGAAAAAGAAGATTTAGAGACGATGGAGAGGTGAAGCACAGCACAAGCCCAGCTGGGCGAGGGGCCCTTGGGGGGACAGCTCGATCCAGAGGCTCCAGGAAGCTTGGAGCCGGCCCCCGGGGCAGGGGCAGTTCTGTCAAGCACTGCACGTGGACTCGGAGGTGAGAAGAAAAGCAGAGGAGAGGCAGGGGAAGAGGGCGGGAGAGGCGGGGCTCCCTCCTGCTCTACAGCCCAGTTACAGCCACCCCCTTAGGGGTTCACATCACCCGAGGAGGAAATGTGTATGTGGTGTTTTTGATTTAAGAACATGAACATCACTGTCTGCCACAGCTGTAGCCATGCCCCAGGGGCCCCGGGCATCCCCCGGCAAACCCCAGGAGTGGGGGCAGGACATGCGCCCCCAGCCTGGCCCCTCCCTCCTCTGAACACTTTCATGCAAACACACAATGGAGGAGTGAGTGCTCCCAGGAGCCCTCCAGGCTTTGGAGCTCTGCTGGAAGCCTCGCCCACGCTGGGGCACGGAGGCTCTGTCCCCAGAAGCAGCCAGGGGACACATGCCACCACCAGGCATGATTTGGGTCACTGTTCCTCTGGCTCCACCTCATCCTCATCTAAGGACACCACCCCAGAAGAAGCTACGTCAGAGGCTTGCCGCTGCCGTTCCCAGCTGCTCGCTGGTGGCAGGCAGAGCGGCTGGCAGTCCTTGCAGGGGGCTGGCTCCTCCTCAGCAGGAGAAAGGCAGGACTCTGTGAGGGGCGAGTTGTAGAGTGAGTCCTGGGCCTCCAGTGGGCCCAGGCTGCGGAAGGCACTTTCCCGGCTGGGGGGCAGTTTGGCGAGGAGCAGCTCATCACCCAGCAGCTGGGAAGCCAGGCGGGCTGGGGAACCCAGCAACCCGTCCTCCAGGCTGCAGAGACTAGAGCACAGGGTCTCTGGGGACACGGTCTGCGAGCAGTCGCTCTCAGGTTCCACGGAGCCCTGGCGCACAGGCCGGGAGAATCTGTGGCCGGTGAAGAGGTCCTGGAGGTGGGGCCCCAGGGGCAGCTGCCCAGCCAGGTCTGCAGGGGGAGAGAAAGAAGACAGCCCTGCCAGCCCCATTTCAATTGGCCCACCTAGAAGCCACATCCTCCCAGCTCCCAGCCTCACAGGAACTGAGTAACTTGGAGCAAGTTGCTTAACCTCTCAGTGCCTCAGTTTCCTTAATGGTGAACTGGAGATTATAACTTTATGGGATTTTTGAGAGAACAACAGACTCTGGAACATGGTGAAAATCAATAAATACAGGGGTACTGTACATGGCGCAGGTGGTTCACTGCACAAGGGGTGCCTGTCCAAGGCTGAATTCAGCCCACAGTCCTCACCAAGCAACATGCCCTAGCACAGGGCTATCCCCATCAGAAAAAGGCATCCCTTTTCCTAACTTCCACAGATTCCACAGGGGCTAGTAGTGGCCTTGGATAAATGTTGGTCATTATCATTATACCAGGGGTCAAAACAGGCCTGGAACTCAAACAAAAACACTCGTGGTTCAGGCATCCTAATCAGTCCCCTTAAGACCACAGTAGCAGTCCCCAGTCTGCTCCAATGTACTGCCCACCCTGGAGAGCTTGTTAATTAGCAAGAGGGGATGGGCCGGGTAGAGGCAATCTTCAAAGGCAAAGAGGTGGGGGGATGGTGGCCTATGAGGTTTGAGCCTAGAAGCTACAGAGAAAGTCAGCCATGTGGTTTAGAGACTGGAAGATGAAAGGAGGGCCTTTGCACAGCTGCACAACCCCTGCAGGGTCCCTTCTGCAAGCCCTGGCCCAGGGAAAGATCCACAGGCAGGCCTCAGCTGGAGGGCAAGGATCCCAAGCTGGAGCCAGAGGCACTGTGGGCGGTCCAGGCCCAGCAAGCCTTCCTGTTTGCCTGGGGCCCCAGCCCTGCAGGGGGCTGTGCTGCTCCACTGCAGCTCCTCTGAGCTGCTCCAGCCAGCCAGAAGGCTGCCTTGAGAGGGCAAGGCAGGACACAGCAGACCCTCAGAGATCAGCTGCACAGAAAGCATCGGTGAGGTCTCTGGGCTTTTTGTTTGTTTGTTTGAAGGGCTTCCCCGGTGGCTCTGCTGGTAAAGAATCTACCTGCAATGCGGGAGACCTGGGTTCAATCCCTGGATTGGGAAGATCCCCTGGAGAAGGGAAAGGCTACCCACTCTAGTATTCTGGGCTGGAGAATTCCATGGACTGTATAGTCCATGGGGTCGCAAAGAGTCAGACACAACTGAGTGACTTTCACTTGAAGGATTGCAAAGCCCAACTGCAAAGAAGGCTCAGCACCTATGGAAAAGGAAACACTGCCATTTCCAACTGCTGACTGCCCACTCACTAGCGTGGTGAGTCCTGCCCTTGGAATGTCAAGGACTGTCTGGACAGTCTGTCCTTCTCCTCTCCCCTTCTCCAGGCTGAGGACATTTTGGGTCTCCCTTTCCAAAACAAAGGCTGAGCTCTGAACCACAAGGCCTGTCAGGAGGTTCCACCTCTGCTGGCAGCACTGGCATGGGATATCTCCCTCACCTGAGTCAGTTCCCCCAGCAAAGTCTTCATCATAGGATTCATCAGTGGAGTCCTCGCCGTCCACCGAAGACCATGCCCGGAGCTTGGCTTCTGCAATGGCGAATTGCTCAGCCACTCCTGACAGGAAAGACACAGAGTTTGTTTAGCAGAGGTGAGCTAAGATGAGGGCTCAGCTTAGACACAGGAGAGGGAAGACACAGCAGTACAGGAAGACTCCAACCCCCACATCAGGCCCAAGGAGATGAACAGGAGCATCCCTATGATAAACCCTTTCAGTACCCACCTGCTGCAAAGCGAGCCTCCTGTTCACCCTCACTGAGGTCCGAATAGGAGGAAAAGGCTGATTCCAGGGCAGCAGGCGAGTCGTTTGGCTTGCTCCAACCCTTCCACTCAATGAGGTGAGCCACTCGGCCCTGGGCCATGGCAGTGGGCTTGGTCACGTGGTCCTTCACCACCTGGGAAATACCTGGAAGGGGGTGCAGAATGAGGAAAGCTGGTATGAACACAGACCAGGGAGCATCTGGAAAGAGAGGGGAGGGGTGATGGTAGTTAAGAGTCCACGTGTGTCTTTGGCTGGGAGGAGGGAGCTGGCATTCATTTGAGAAAGAGAGGAAAGAGGGATCCCAGCAAAAGCTCACAGGATACAGTCCCCAAGGGCATGTGCAAAAGGGCAAAGGGGGTGCATACCATGCAGCGAGGATCTGGCCAGCGCAGCAATCTCCTGGATAGTTAGGGCTCTCCGGGACTTGGGCAGCATTGCGATTGTGTCTCCAACATTCACCTTGGGTGACAGCATCAGAGGGTGAGTGCCCCTCTGACAGCAGTGTTCCCCACAGGCCCATACTCCACCCAAGGCATCAAGGGGATGTGGGAGCTGGGAAAAGATGCCAGAGCATTGCTGATGTCCCAGTGGCTGCTGGGATATGTCGGAAAGTAAGAGGCCAGGATCTGCAAACTGTGTCCACCCAGGAAACAACACAGACATGAGCAGGTCCAAAGGAATAGAACTGCAGCTAACCCGCCACATCCTGGCTTGCAGGGAGGGAAGCAGGTTGACAAGTAAATGGAGTGGGGCCTTTGAGAATAGCAAAGAGGGGAGGCCAAATGCATGGCAAATGGGACTTCCTCCAGGTCCTCTCCCCCTTGCCCATCTCAGTCTTCAGATCCCCCATCCTAGCTGTTTCTAGAGCCTACGAGGGCCACAAACTCAGTATGGTCAAAACCAAGCCCAACACCTTCTCCTCATATCTGGCCCTGCTATAAGACTTCCTGATTTCACTCCACCCCACCATTCTTCCATTCCACCTGGCTCCAAACTTCAGCATTACCATCGGCTCTCCCCTAAGCCTGCTTACCCAGATCTGTTATTAACACCTAATGACTCCATCTCCAAACTGCCTTCTATACTACTGTCATCCTTTCTACTCCTGCTACAGCCCTTTTTCAAGGGTAAGCCCTCAGTGCCCCCAGCTCAGATTAGCACAACTGGTGGTCCCCCAAGTTCCAATTCCACACTGTTTTCTCAGCCCAGAATGTTGTGTATGTAAGTGTTCCCCACCCCACTTCCCATGACTGGTTCTTCCTCATCTTTAGGGTCTTGGCTGAAATATCACTCTCTCAGAGAGCCTTCCTGGCCACCCTAGTCCAGGCTCCCTCTGTAGTCTATAGCAAGTTGCCATCCTCTATCAACAGACCCTGTGTGTGTCACTATGGTCTGGTTCCTGTGTTTCCTTACTTCTCATTGGTTTTTAGCTCTATGAGGAATTTGGTCTCTCTTGGTCACTGCTGCACCCACCCTCTGTTTAACACAGTGCCTGGTACAGAGGAGCTCTGAAAATACATAGGCTGAATGAATTAGGCAAAGTATAAAAATAAACAAGTAATTTTCCTGGAGTGCAACTGGTCACAACATGTCCCTACTTAAAATCTTTCCTGGGTTCCTCCAATGCCCAATGAAGTGGAAGCTGCACTTCAGTCAGGCACTGAAGGAATCCATTCCGTGAGGCCCTAGGCTCTTTCCAGGCCTGCTTGGAATCCACCAGTGATTTCCTCTGCCCAGTGAAAGCCCACCTTTCCACCTTCCCTCCAGGCAAAGGAACGCAGCTTTCCCCTGGGCTAAGAATGCCATCCTTGCCTGACAAAATGCCCCCTATCATTTAAGGCCTGATTCTCAAGTGCCACCACCTTCTAATTATGTTTTCAGTCCACAGTTTCTCTGTCTTCTTGTATGCCTGCATCCCCAGCTCAGCAATGTCCTTGCATCTTTCCTGAGGGATTTTGGGGTGGCAAAGCCTCAGTCTGATTCACCTGGGTTCCCACCTCCACCCTACACCTGGCTCAGGGCTCCTTGGCAGCCCTGGGAAAGTCTCCCTCAATGAATGAATGAAGTCGGAGGCACACGCCCCATCCCCGGCACTGCTGACCGCTCCTCCAACACGTTCCCACCCCTCAGAAGAGGGACTCCACCTGCCCCTTTGACCTCAGGCCCACCCCGTCCCTTCAATACCTGGCTGACAGGGCCCCCAGGGTGGTGCCGGCAGCTTCAGGCCCAGCCTGGGGGGGGAGCACCTGGTGGGTGTTCCCTGGTTCGCTCTCCCGCCCTCCCATCACTCCCCCCAGCCATCACCATCCTTGCCTGCGCTCGCGCAGCTGCGGCCCAGGCCCAGAGAAAAAGGTGTATGTCTCCCTGGCAACCCATCACCATGCAACAGGGTCTCCCGGGATACGGCCCGGGATGCGCTGACGTCAGGGCCCAAGGCGCAAGCAAGCCCGCCCGCTGGCACGGAGCCGAGCAAAGCAGACCGGCGCGCGGGGGCGGCCTTGTGGCCCTGGCGGCCGGATAGCGCCTCCGCTTGCAGGAAAAGAGAGCCAGAAGCAAGGCTGGCTGGCAAAGCGGGGGTGGGGCACCCAGATCCCCTTCACGTGGATGCAGGGGGCCCCCTTCCCCCTACCAACACCAGGGGCCCAGCACCTCTGGCAAGTCCTGGCTGTCCACTGAGGAAGGGCGGGAGGACCGGCTCCAGCCTCGGAGAGTCCGAGCAGATCCCAAGGAAGACAGGGAGAGGCCTCGAGGAAGTTCAATCCACTCCACAGCCCACGCGGGGTCCGAGGCCACTGAGGGGTGGGGGAAAGGCTTTCAGCTGGGCTCCTACTTCTGCCAAGAACCCCATTTTCATCCGGTGTTGCCCTTATCATTTCTCCATACCCCATCCCCCAGTCCCAAGAACCTAAGCATCCACCTGGTGCTCTCCACAAGCCTGAAAGCCCCTATCCTCACAGCCTTGACCTTCAGGCCTCCGGGGCCATTTTGTGGCAGACACTCCCCACCATCTTCCTCAAGATATATTCTGCCATCAAAACCCTAGGTATGAAACCTAAACTTTGATAAATTCCGAACCTTCTCAGGTTTCTCAGCCTACCCATTCCTCTTGGAAAGCACACCACATTCTTCCACCAACATCACCCCCTCTCCCCACCACCAGCTCAGACCCTCTACAAGCTGGCTATGGTTCTTTCCTCTGGCTAGCCCCAGCTTATGTGCAGCTCTTCACTCTTCTTTTCTGACAAACCTATGATTTTCTTCTGACTTTCGTCCCCCTAAGGCTTTTTCCTGATGCCCTGTCTGGCCCCAGCCTGTCTGTTCCTATCTCAGCCTGGTTCCCAACATCTAACCAGAGTAATTTTCCTCTTGCCGCCTGAGCATCCTACTCCTCAGCTTCCCATCACCTCCCAAATCACATCTATGTCCCTGGCCTCACCTCTTCGACTTGTCTGACAAGTCCATCGTCCTCCAGGCCCTTCACGCTGCCACAGAAACATTTTGCCCAGCACAGAAATCATAGGCATGCTGGCTGTGTTGATGCGGAGAACCAAAAGCCCAGAACCGCTCCAGGCTCAGCTCCCAGTTCTATTCCTATTTTGGCTCCGGATGCTGAGCCAGTCCCCTCCCCACTTGGAACCTGTGCCTAGTCACAGAAGGAGAACACTTCTGCCTCATGGCTTTGAGGAGGTGGGAGTGCCTGGGCCCAGCTGAGCTCTCTGGAGCTCAGGAGCTGAGGCCCATCCCCTAGACAGTGCCAACAGGCAATTGTACATCACAACTGACCTTTAGCTGGAGCAGCCGTCTCTGTCCCTGAGCCTCAGCCAGCTGGTGGTCCCTAGAAACACTACCAACCGGAAGGAAGACACAAGGTTACAGGCCATCCCTGGCCCCCAGCTGGTGCCTAATCAGGGCTCTCGAGGCCAGTCAGGAGGTCAGCCAAACTCTCCTGACTACAGGAGGGAATGACTTCCTGAACTCCCAAGCTTTAGCAGGGCCAGAGGGATCAGAGCAGCCTGCTGCTTCTCAGCTTCAAAAGTCATGAGATTAATTTAAGACTACAAATCCTAGAATTCCTCATGGGAACCCCAGTCAAATACATATCTCAGCTAGAATCTTAGCCCCAAAGAACCTCAAGTAACACCCACACTAAGGCCTCTGTGCCTGACCGCCTGCCCTAAAAGCCCAGGACTCATTCCAAACCCAGCCCTACACACGTCACAAGTTCCTGCCTGGCTTTAGGCCTGGGGAAATCCATGACACGGGAGTAAAGTAGGCTGGCCTACCTCAGACACTAAACTAAGGCCAGGCCCCAGTGTGCACCACAATCTATGGGAACCAAGGCTCAGGCAGTGGTCAGCAGTTGTGGAAAGGATGCCCCAACAGCCTCCCTCTGGGCTCCTGTTTCCCTCCACAGGGCAGAGTGAGTTCTGTTTTTGTTGGGAGTGGGGCCAGGGGACTAAAACAGTTTTTTACAGATGAGAGGTGATCAGGTGCTCACAGGTGCCCCCAAATGGGGCTGCAGTCCCCTTCATCAACCTGCGGACTCTTAAGGGGGTAATAAGTTTGGTCGAAAACTCCATGGTAGGATGCTTGGCCAGCGTCTGCAGGCTACCTCCTGAAGGGGGTTGGGACACAGCTAGAAGACAGGTTCCCAGCATAGAGCCACTCCCAGGACAGTGAAAGGAGAGGTGTAGGCAGAGGGGGAGGTGACTGAGTGGGCATGCAAGGTCAGTCGCCACGGGCTGGAGGGGGTTGAGCAGCCCTTCTCTAGGCTGTGCGCCTCCTGCCACCCTCAGCGGTGGGGATGCAAGCGGAAAGCCCACGAGTCCACCCTGCAGAGCCCAGAGGCAGTAGCAGGCCTTAAGGAGCGAGCCTGAGTCGGTTTACCCCCCTTCCGGCTGGGCCCGCTCCCTCCTCTTGCCGGGCCCGCCTCCCCAGTGCAGGCTCCTCCCTCTTCCAACACCGGCCCCCTCCTCAAGGCCCCCACCCCCCCCGCGGCGGCCCGCGCACCGGGTAGCCTCAGCCCGATTCCCCAACCCTGGCCCGGTCTCCGCCTCTTACCCTGACTCGCCGGGCTCCGGGAGCCGATACAGCCCATGACCGGGCACCCAGCCACGCTAGCCCACACTCGGGGTCCGGGCCATCGCCCTGCAGAGGGTCGGGCCGCGGCCGCCACCGGGGAGGGGAGAGCCCGTTGAGAAGGGAGGGGGGTGGGCGCCGCGCGTCCGCCAACGCTCCCGGGAGAGGGAACCGGGCTGGTGACGTAAGCTCGGGGGCGTGGCCACGCGTCACCACCCAAGGCGGGGCGACGCCTACGTCACAGCCACGCAGAGGTGGCCTGGGGCCGAGTCAGAAAAGGTTCGTCCTGTGCTCCCAGACCCAAGACACCAAGGGTGGGGAGCGGCGAGACGGGTCACACTCACTCACTGGGCCCGGGCTGCTGGTCATACTGCATAGGGGCAGACGTTCTTTTTATCCTGGGCTCTCATGTCACAGATGAGACCTCAAAGCTGTAGCAAGTTCCAACTTATATAGCCTGAAACCCTGGGTCTTCACATATAGGGGTCTTGCAGCACATTGTCATAGATCAAGACCAGCAAGTATGTCCTATTAAGTACCCCGTAGCTATGTCCCCTTTCTCCCCTCCTAATCTACAGGGAGCCCCACCATGTCCATTTTTGAGGGCCAACCATCCAGCAGACTCCCTAACCCTCCAGATCACAGGGGAAGAGGAAAGAGGGGTGCCCAGTTACACGGAAGTGTGCTACAGTGCCAGCTCTGGAAAGGAGGCTGCCCACCTATCCAGACCCCTTCTCCAGAGGGAGCAGGCCATAAAGCACAGAGGCAGTGAGCGTAATTGAATTCATGTTTAATAATTACAGGCACCGTGCCCCCCCTTCCCCCTGCTCAGGCAGCAGGGGTGGTGCAGGGGCTGGGGCATATGCCCCCAGCAGCGAGGACGGCAGTCCCAAGAGTGATTTTCAGAAAATAAAAAAGGACCCAAGGGGCAGGCGGTGGTGCCCCCCCCAAGACACACCAAATTTCAAGACTTTATATATAATATATCTCTGTGCCCCAGGGGGAGGAGAGGGACAGCTGGCAGCATCTGGAGGGGGGGCCCCAGGCAGCCCCAAGCCATCCTGCCTCTTCAGCCACTTTATTAGCTCAGACAATATCGCACTACAGGCACCCACTGCCACCGCCGCCGCTGCTGCCGCCCCCCACCCCTGCAGTCCAGGCGGCTGGCTTGGCCATCCGAGTGTCCATGGGGCTCTAAGTCCCCGGCCCCACCCGCCCTCAGTTGTGGTCAGACTCCTCCTCCTCCGCCTCACGAAGCCACTTGAAAAAAGTCGTGACAGATTTTAGGGCCACGCCCTTGCCCTGCTGCTCAGCAGGGTCCTTGCTACTCTCCCAGCTATAGAAGGCGTCCTCCTTCACCACGTCCTCGTCATACAGAGCGTCGAAGAACATCCCAAGCAGGTCTGCAAGCAGGCAGAACAGCAGTTAGAGGTGTGCTGTCCACAAGCACCCCATCCCACCGCCCAGGAATCCCACCCCTACACTCCACCGCTGAAACAAGGCCCTGACCCAGCATGCTGACATTTGTCTGGCCACTCCAGAGTGACTAGGTCTCTGACACCACGCTAATCTCATGATCTATGACACTGGTTTGCGAGAATGAGTCACTTGGCCAAAATGTACAAACCTGCCCAGCCTCACCTCAGCAGCTTCAAACTTCACTCATGATATATTTATTTAATGGGGAAAAGTGCAGAATTGGTACTCCTGAATTTGAGGAATCACAAATTCAGGAGACGTATCTCCCATAAAATTCAAGGGTATAACCTGGAACATTCACTGAGCCCGCCCCTGGCCCCATTTTACAGATTCTGACAAACTTGACCCCAATTTTCTCTTTTCACACATCTCCTAAACATATATCCACCCCTTCTCTGGCCTTGACACTTCTATGTGTGATGTATCTTTTGCCAGGAACATTGCTTCTCGTCACCTTTTATCACCTTCCTAGTGAATTCCTTTAGGCTCAACTCAAGCACCCTCTCTGCTCTGCTTCTCCCTCACCCCCAGCTTTCCATCATTCTTCCAAAGCACGTGTACAACCCTGAACATAATTTATTCCATTCACCACATGCCCTGCCAGTCTTTCCAAAGAAAACAGTACATTCTTAAAAGCAAAAGGAGGTTGAGAAGTTGATTACATTTCTTTTGAATACAGCATAGAATCTAGAGTCCAGGCCTCAGTGAAACACTGACTGAGCCATCTAAGAGAAACTGCAAGCCAGGATGTTCCTCAGGCACATACCTTCAAATCCACAACTGAGGCTATGGACAGCCTCCAACCCCTATCCCTCAGCAATGGCAGCAACAGGTTACTTATCCCAAACTTGTTTTCCAAACCCCATGCATACCTATCCCAGTGACTCTACACAATCAATTATCCACCACTCTGCCCCATATTTATAAGCCCAAGCTTCTCCCACCTGAACACTAAAAGCCTCCTTTTAACTACTACTATCTCTTCAAAGCCAGACAAAAGATTTGTCTTTTGACAAGAAATTAGTTGAATTCAAACATTTCTTCTAGGGACTTCCCTGGTGGTCCAAAGGTTAAGACTGCCATGCTCCCAATGCAGTCGGCCTGGGTTCAATCCTTGGCCAGGGAACTAGATCCCACAAGCTACAACTAAGACTTGGCTCAGCCAAATCAAATAATAGTAGTTTTTTTGTTTTTTTTTTTTTAAATTTTGTCTGCACTTGCTGTTTTCTTCCTGATTCAGGGGAGTATTACCCTGTCCTTTTCAATCCAGCTCCTGTCCCCTGCTTTACCAAATACTGTTTCTGCCAGGGTAGCCTCCATGTTTTCACATACCAGAGGCCCTAATTTTCAGATCTGTTCAAGCAGCATCTAACATTATAGACCATTCCCCTCTCCTAATATGTCCTGTGCCTCAAGAAATGGGCCTTCAGTCCTGACCTCTTCCTCTCCAAATCAGACACCCAGCTAGCTGCCTACCTACCTGACTGACATCTCTGATCATCCCCACCAGGACCACAAACTCAGTATGACCAAACTCAATTTGATCCAGTGGTCCCTGCTGCTGCTGCTAAGTTGCTTCATTCGTGTCCAACTCTGTGCGACCCCATAGACGGCAGCCCACCAGGCTCCCCAGCCCCTGGGATTCTCCAGGTAAGAACATTGGAGTGGGTTGCCATTTCCTCCTCCAAAGCATGAAAGTGAAAAGTGAAAGTGAAGTCGCTCAGTCATCCGACTCTCAAGAGACCCCATGGACTGCAGCCCACCAGGCTCCTCCATCCTTGGGATTTTCCAGGCAAGAGTACTGGAGTGGGGTGCCATTGCCTTCTCCGCCAGTGGTCCCTACTGCCCAGTAAATGACATCCCCACTATCATTTCACCTGCTAAAACCATCCTAGGAGTCATATATGACTTCCAATCTCACCACCCTATCCCCAGGCCAGTGAGTCTTCAATCTACCCACCCTCTCCAATCCTCATTTCCACCAGAGAGGCTGAGCCACTACCAACATGCCCCGATCGGCCGATCTAGCCACATTCACCCCACTCCAAATCACTCTTCTCACTAATGGCCAGGATGATCTAAACACTAAAAAAGAATTTTTAAAATCCCTGCTTGAAATTCCACAAAGGCCAATTTTCCTGTCCTTTGGCCAAAGCCCAAAACTCATCCCATGGTTTAGAGAGTCCTGCATGACCTGGCCACATCCATCTATCCACCCCACTTGCCTCACATACAACTGGCTGCTGCACTCTTCCACACTGGCCTTCCTTTAAGTTTTTACCTTGTATGTTTTCACCCTCAGGGCCTCCCTTTACAGATTCAGTTCATATAAGTCTCCCCTTCCCCTTTGTCATTGAAGTCCCCATGTGTCAATTCCCACTCATTCCCTCTTGACTAGGTAAATTCTCCCAGAGTATCCTGCAGGACCCATCTTCCAACACTTACCCAACTCCATGCTCATGTGGGAACTACGTTTGACTTAATCACTGTTAATATCCCAACCCCAATGCCCTGGCACACAGTGTGTGGTAGGAGTACATGCTTAGTCACTCAGTCGTGTCTCTTTGTGACACCACATACTGTAGCCCGCCAGACTCCTCTGGCCATGGGATTATCCCAGCAAGAATACCGGAATGGGTTGCCATTTCCTCCTCCAGGAGATCTTCCCCACCCAGGGATCAAACCCATGTCTCCTGCAATGCTAGGCAAATTCTTTAGCCAGTGAGCCACTGGGGAAGCACAAAACAGGCAGTCGGTTAACCTTCAAGGCCAAGTGTAACGCCTTCCACTTGGTAAGGAAACAGTGTTGGAGAGAAAAGGACTCAACCATGAAAATATTTTGCTCTCCAGGGACCACCCACTTTTCTTGGGTTGAGACCCTCTCCACCACTGTCCCCCTACAATCTGGTAGTTCCTCCAGCCCACCCACCCCCACCATCCCCATGGCCTGGCTCTTACTAGGGGGCTGGTCTAAGGTCACTACAAGGGCCTGGAGGGCATAGAGCGCCTGCAGTTCCTTCTGCTCGTCACATAGGTACTTCTGTAGCAGTTTCGCTCGTGCTTTCAGCACTGCAACATCCACTCGGAGAGAAGACTCAACTACAGGGAGAAAGACAGCGGTAAGTAGAATAACGCACCCTCAGCCTGGTTCAGAACTAGAGGTAAAGACCAAAACCTCCCTCCCTCCATATCTGCTGGGCCCACCCTTGCCCCACCAACTCCCTGGCTCCTCTTACAGATAATTGCAGAATAGCACACAGTCGTCATGAGGGCTCGAACTAATGTGTTGGATGTCACCTGCTGCTCATTCAGGTTGGCCTGTGCAAGAGAAAGAGAAACAAATGGCTCAAAAGTTCTAAATTATGCCTGGAAGGCTCCATTCTTGTTGCCCCCATCAAGCACCACCTTCTCTCTCTCTCTCTCTCTCTCTCTCTCTCTCTCCACACCAGTCTCAAGGAGAAACATACCTCTATCCAGTCAAACACCCGCTGGTTACTGCTGCCTTCCTGCAGCAGCTTCTCCAGCTGCCTGCGCAGCTCCTCAAAGGAGAACAACCTCTGGCCCGGGGTTTCTGACTCCTCTCCCAGGGT